TATATTCCCAGTAGTGGAACTGCTGGGTCAAATGGTATCTCTATTTGCAACTTTTTGAGAAAGTGCCATACTGCCTTCCACAGTGGTTGCACCATTTTACACTCCCACCAACAGTGAATAAGGGTTCCAGTTTCTCCACAACCTCACCAGTATTTGTTTCTTGTTGTTCTGTTAAATTTTGCTATTCTGACTGGGGTGAGATGATAGATATCTCATAGTTATTTTGGTTTGCTTCTCTCTTAGAGCTAGGGATTTCGAACATTTCTTCATGTGCTTGTTATCCATCTGAATGTCTTCTTTGGTGAAGTGTCTGTTCATATCCTGAGGGTCACCCATTTTGTATACTATTTCATGAGTTCCTTGTTTTTAATGCAGCATAGTATTCCATTGTGTGAATATGCCACAACTTCTCTATCCATTCATTTGTTGATTGGCACTTAGGTTGTTTCCAACTCTTTGCTATTTTGAACAAAGCCGTGATAAACATGAGTGTGCATTTGCAATTCAGATGGTGAACAAACACATGAAGAAATGTTCAAAATCCCTAGCTCTAAGAGAGATGCAAACCAAAACAACAAAGCTATCATCTCACCCCAGTAAGAACAGCAAAATTCAGCAGAGCAGCAAATAGCAAATGCTGGCGAGGTTGTGGAGAAATTGCAACCCTTATTCACTGTTGGTAGGAGTGTAAAATGGTACAACCACTGTGGAAGGCAGTATGGTGCTTTCTCAAAAAGTTTCAAATAGAAATACCATTTGACTCAGCAGTTCCACTGTTGGGAATATACTGTAAAGTAACCAGAATTGCATTGTGTTTTACACAATCTTTCATGGACATCGTATTTCATACAATAGTTCATATACATTGTGTTTTAGAAAATGAATTACTGATGTGTTGGAGGAGAGCACTGAACATCCCATGGACTGCCAAGAGAATAAACTGATAAGTCTTGGAAAGGGTGTAGAAGAAGTGCTCTTTGGAGGCAAGAATGATGAGGCTTTGCCTTGCATGCTTTGGGCATGTTTTTAGGAGGGGCTATTCCTCAGAAAAGAGCATGATGCTGGGAAGGGTTGAGGATTAGTGAAGGAGAGAAAGACCCTCAACCAGGTAGATTGACATGGTGAATGCTGTAATGAATGGGTTCTTGGGTGTCAGGAAGTGTGAGGATGGCACAGGGTGGGACAGGGTTCAGATCTTTTACTCACAGAGTCACTATGAGTTGTACTCAACCTGACAGGACTAAAAACCAAGAACAATTGATATATGCCTATTATTAGAGAGGGCTGGTGACCTAGAAGTAAGAAGCTGTGCTGCAGTTCTAAAGGCAGTAGTTCAAATCCACCAGATGCTTTGTGGGAGAAGGATGGGCAATCTACTTCTGTGTGATTTATTGTCTCTGAAAGCCTTCTGGAGGATCAACTATGGGTCAGTTCTGACCATTGGCATGGAACAATATGCCTATTATTACTCCATCTTTCCAAGGACCCCCTGGATCTTTCCAAATTCTTTACTTCCCCATCTGCGCCCTGAACTCCGCTAGCCTAATGATTTGATTTCATGCCTTTCCCATTTTCCACCCCTTCCTTCCCCTTTTCCACTTCCCCTTTTTGGGCATTTATCCACATCTTGCCAGCTTTCCTTCTATTTTTACAGTAATGGTCTTATGCAGTATTTGTCCTTATGAGACTGAATTAGTCTAGCATAATTAGACTAGCATAATGCTTTCTAAGTTCTCCCTATATTTTACAAAATCTTATTCTCCTGGTATTTGCTATGTATTTTACAAAATCATATTCTTGAATACATCTGAAACTTTCCTTCTTTCCTCTCTAATTTACGAATTCTCCCTTCCCTATTCGCGAATAGATCTATATCTTTGCTTTTGCAAAGTGTATTTTTAGTCATAATTTAGACTTAACATCCGGCAACACTGCCACTGTTCTTTCCTCTTATAGCTGGTCTTGTCAAAGGTAAGAGAAAGATTTTTATGGGGTCAAGTGTGTCAGAGTTTATAAGGATGGCCTAAGACAGGGCAGAGTCCAGGTCTATTAATCATAGGGTCGCTATGAATCATGCCAGGACCCCTAACACAGCACTTGGGGCCCAGCTGTAGCCCTGTGCTAACTGCTGGGGAGTCCAGAGCCACGTGCGCCCCCCCCAGGCGCGACCGTCCTCCCAGCTGACTCCCCTGCTCAGCGCTAACCCAGCCTCACCTGTAAATGACCTGTACCTGACCTAGTCTCACCTGTAAGTGCTCCTGGAGGCGCACTGGAAGGATCTGCGCCATGGCTTGGGCCTGGTCGAGGGGGGCGGTGGCCAGGCTCGCTGAGAGCTGGCAGATAACAGGCGGTGGGTAGGCAGCGCCGGCTCAGGGACCCGCCGCCAGCCAGGGATCCTTCTGCGCCCTGTCCTCCGTCCCCCGCCCCTCCTTCCTCTTCTCTCCCCACCCCTTTCCTTGGGTCCTGCAGGCTGTGTCAGCTCCTCTTGCAGGCAGTCACGGTGCAGGTGTCCCGTGTCCAGACACTATTCCCAGCTGGTGCCTGGGGTCTGTTCCAGGAGAGAGTGAAGTCACTAAGTCTTTCCCGGGGCCTTCCACCTGTTTTTGTTGTTAGAATTCTTTTAACCAACTTAATATGTGTCTGTAATCTCTTTGCTAAGGCTTACTTCCCTCTGCCTCCTAGCCCTGGTAACCATACAAGAATGATTTTGTGAGTAAGCCTTCTCATAACTTTTTATAATAATGGTGTTAACACTAGGAAACCCTCAGGGACTTGCTATCGAGTCTAGTACGACTCATAGCGACCCTATGAACACAAGACCTTCACTGCCCTATCCTGTGCCATCTTCATCATCTCTGACACACTAGATAGAGCCCATTGTTGCACCCACGGTGTCAATCCATTGGGTTGAGAGCCTTCCTCTCTTTCTCTGTTCTTCCACTTTCCCAAACATGATGTCTCTTTTTGTTCTGAGAAGGACGATGTTGTTGTCATTGTGGATGGTCGACTTGGAACTGACCCATAGCTGACCCTCTGGTGAGTTTATAGAGGCGGTCAACTGAACAGCCGGAGTTTGCCTAATCTTCTTCCTTGGAACAGTTGGCGGGTTCGAGCTGTGTGTCTTTGACTTTGCAGTGCAGAGCTGCTTACCACTAGGGCACCACAAGACGATACAGGTGGCAGTTATACTGGAAACTCTCGACTGTCGAGTTTCAGACTATTTTTCTTTTACAGGAATAAATGTGTCAAAAACACACTTTAACAAATGAGATTCCCAGGGTATGTAGCAGATGTGTTTCTACTTAAGGCTTTCTTAGGAAATATTTTTCCTAGAATGTTTTATTTCTTCTAGATTTCTTTTAAAATTATTAGTATACATTGTATTTCATTCATGAACATTGTGTTTTATACAATTTTTCATTTACGGTGTGTTTCATAGAATTATTAACATACATTGTCTTTTATAAAGTTGTTCACTATTTATGCCTATTATCACCTTCACTTTTCAAGTTCTGATTGAGACTTTAGTCCTTCACCTGTCCACACTCTCATGAAATTCTGCAATCCTAGTGATTTCCACCCTTCCCCATTTGCCACCTTCTTCCCTGTTTTCTCTTCTCCTTTGAGGGCTTTTAAAAGACAATATTTATTCTTCTTTTTCCTTTTATAACCATTTTATATTGGTTTGCTCACAAAGTTCACATACATTGTTTTTCACGCTATTCTTCATTCTTATTGTGTTTCATACAATCATTTCCCTGCTTTGTTTTATAAAATGAAGCACCATTGGACCTTGCCCATCTTTACCCAATCTTTTCAGGTACCCACTATCTTCTTCTCATTTCCTTCACCCCCTCCCTCAACCCTCCAAACTGTGCAACACTATGGTTTCACCCCTACCCATCCTCACCCCTCCACTCCCACTCCTTCTCTCCTTGGGTTCCCTACATATTTTACTCGTTATCCTTCTATTTTTACAATGATGGTCTTATTAATATTTGTCCTTATGAGACTGAGTTCATTCACTTAGCCTAATGCTCTCCATTCACTCCCAAGTAGTGTAGTATTTTTCAAAATTATTGCTCCTGAGTGCTGCATAGTAGTCCATCGTGTGAAGTTGTAGTTGGGCATTTGGGCTGTTTCCATCATTTTGTGAATAATGCTTCTGTGAATATTGGTGTATAGATCTTCATTTGTGCCTCAGTTCTAATTTCTTTGGGATATATTTCTAGTATAAGAATAGCTGGGTTATATGGAGTTTCTATGTTCAACTTTTTGAGGCAATGTCAAACTGTCTTCCAGAGTGGTAGTACCATTTAACAATCCCACCAACAGTGTAAGAGTTATAGCTTGCCACACTCTCTCCAACATTTATTGCTTTCTGCCCTGCTAAACTTTGCCACTGCCACTGGGATAAGATGTTATCTCATGGGGATTTTGATTTGCATCTCTCCTATTTTCAGTGATTTTTTTCATGAGTCTGTTGGCCATCTTCCTCTGTGAAAAGTCTTTCTATGTGTTTTGCCCATTTTGTAATTGTGTTATCAGTCTTTTTTTTTCTTCTGGAGGCCCAAAAGTATTCTGTAAATTTTTGTTAATGATACCCTTGTCTAAGATGGTATTGCCAAATGTTTGTTCCCAGTTTTTAGGTTTTCTTTTCACTCTGTTGAGGAAAGTTTTTGATGAGAACAGAGATTTAATCTAACTAGTTATCCTCCTAGTTTTATAATAATGGTTTTAGCAATATTTATCCTTTTGAGACTGAGTTGTTTCATTCATTATAAACCTCTCTAGACTTTCCCATGTTATGTAGTATTTTATGAAATCAGTGCCCCTTTATAGTGTGCTTTATTTCTACTTGAACCTTCAAGGGGTAGATGGCCAACTGAAGGCCCGTGATAGCCCCAAAATGCCTGCGATCCCACGCTGGTGACAGCAGGCATGGAGCTAGCAGCCCTGCCCTGGGTTTGGCACCACTCAGTGGCTGTGCTTCCAGGTACTATCTGAAGAAGTGTTAGTAAGCAGCTGGCTTGGCTACCAGGCTGGGACGCGTGAGACTCTCTGCCTGTGAACTTCCAAGGTGCCATCAGTACCTTTCTGTTCTATGTGTTGCTTTTTAGTCACTTTAAGAGATAGATGATCCACTGTGATGGTGTAATTACTGGTCCAAACACTTGAAAATATACATCACTCTGGTGGTTTAGTGGTAAGGAGTTGCACTGCCAACTCAAAGGCATGTGGTTCAAATCCACTGACTGCTACATGAGAGAAGCATGGACAATTTCCTCCCGTGCTATTTGCTATTTGCTATTTCCCGTGCCTCTGAAAACCTGCTCAGGGTCAGTTATGAGATAGTTCTGACTCCACTGTGCACAGCAACAAACCAAAGATTTCTTAAACTTGAGTAGATTACTTTCAAATTGAATCACTTTTCCAGGATTAGCGGTGCTTCTTTGGCACTATAGGTCAGGTTCAGATCTATTGTTCATGGGATCAGCATAAATTGTATTCGACTCAATGGCACCTAACAACAACCACAACAACTTTTATATTAGCCACAGCTTCTTCGTGCTGCCCTTTCAACGTCTGTGTGGCCTCATATCTTAAATACAGAGATACTTTCTGGGCGGTTTGCACGACATTCCCTAGATTTTCCTATTTTTGTTTTAATGTCTGTGACTCTAAGCACCTTTTACTCCAGATAATCTGATAATCCAGATAAACATTAAAGTAGTATCTTTCTAGTGGCAAGAAGCTGCGCTGCAATCCTGAAGACTCACGGTTCAAATCCAGACACTGTGCTAGAGAAGGAGGTGAAATCTCCTCCTATGCCAGTCAGATCCAATTTGATAGTACACAACAAGAAAAAAGAGAAGAGAAAAAAAGAATGGCTCTTATTTTTTAAAAAAAAAATAGTATCTTTCCCTAAGTCACCTTTCTCAGGGCTTCTTTTTTAAAAAATCAAGATTAGAAAGTTACACCCTAAAAAGAACTTTAAGAAAAATGTGATTATGGTTTTTGTTTAAGTATTTAACTTGGAAGCACTGGGGGACAGAGGGTAGGAAGGGAAGGGGAACTGCTGAGATGATAGGATCTTACACAGCCTCAAATGAAATCCAAGGAAAGATGTTGCATTTGTGGAGTAAGTGCTTACTTTAAAAGTATGCTTTTCTTTTCTTTTCTTGACTGCTAAAATTTTTATTTGCAGGGTGTTTGTTTTAATTTAAGGGGTTTTTTATAGGAGTGGGGCCATCATGTGGAAACCAAAAAGTGGAGAAGATGTGAACTATGCAAATCTTTATTTTGTGTCTTTTTTGTGTTTTTAATAGGCCTCATTTCAAATATACAAAACAGTTCCACACCTGGATTGGGTGTTTGTAATAAATGCCAAAAAGGAGAGAGAGAGAGAGAGAAAATGGGGGCAACTATAGAAAGAAAATAGTTGTGACATGTTTTTTATTACTACTTTATTTTTCAAATATTACAATCCATTAGATTTTGTTTTGGTACTGTTAATAAAAATATGGGGAAATTATTCTTTTTTACAGAATTGGTGTGAAGTTAGGACCTAATCCAGCCAGGGTCTGCCTATACTTATAAAGGAGCTAAACATTCTGATTTGGAAAGAATTCTAATATTCCCACCATGGATGAGTAACGTGGGGGGAAAAAACTGTATCTTTTTACTGGGTTAAAAATATAAAAAATAACTTACTAAAAAAAATGGAACTTTCTGTCCATTGTCGTACCATAGTAGATTTCTTGTGGCTGTGAAGCTAAGCCACTAGTTTGAAATATCAGGATGGTGACCTATGGTGGACATGTCTCAATAGAGCTTTCAGATCAAGAAAGACTAGAGAGAAAGGCCTGCCAGTCATCTTCCCTAAATGAACCACTATGGAGTACATCAATTAGCCTTATGGATCACAGACATCAAATGCTGGAGAACACCCTGTTTGGTGGAAGGGAACACAAGTAAAGGTGAGGGACAATAGTGCCACAATAATGTCACAATAGTCACAATGGACCTGAATATGTCATCAAGCAAGAATATGACACAAGAAAGACATGTCAATGTTTTGTTTGTACATAAGGTCCTCTTAAGTTGGAGTTCACTCAACAGCAACTATCTTTTGTGTTTTTTTCATTTATTATTATTATTATTATTAATTTTAATGAAAATTTACAGAGATTTCCGATTTCCATTCATTCATTGTTGCACTTTTCTCCCTGCCCACCCCTCCCCCCTAATTCCCTCTTCTCTTTGAAAAGTGAAAGAAAAATTTTTC